TAAATCTGCTGTTTTACATGATTGTTGAATGAAATTAACATAGTTTATTAATTTATTGTAAAAACATGACAGATAATCTGTGTAACAGATCCAGTTCAGCTTGTTGTTTATCTATTAGTTTCTATGGAGGCTRTGAGTTGTTGCCCTTTTAGGACGCCATTTCTGCTCCTCCATGCTGTCACAGACGCTACCAGTGGACGGTATGGGCGAGGCTTAGTCTAGCGATCTTTATATTTAAGTCTATGGTTTGTAGTTAGTTCTTCAAAGGCCATATTTGAAGGCGGATTACATCACAGCGATGCGCCAAAGGCTGTCCAGATTTGAAGGCTCCTCCAGTTGCGGTCCACAAATGCGTTCTTCTTTTCCCCAATTTGAGGCACGACCCATCCTATCCCAAGATTCATTGCTGGCCAATCAGCAGATGTTTGTGCTGGTAATGGAGAATAAACAAGAGACAGGAGTACAGTTTTGAATAAAAATCTGGTGGTACAAAAATTGTAAGCTTAAAATGGTCGTGTTGTTAGGTGTGTTTTTTTTTTATTCTTGTCAGAAATCATCGTAAATGAGCTTAAATGGCAGCCACAGCTCCAACCTCTCCAGCTTTCCTCTCACAATAAGAGACACCCGGTCCCTGGTCTTCATGCATTGCCTCTAAAATAATTTAGTGTATTTGTAATAATAATAATTATATTACATTAACATTTTGTACAAAGCAACGTTGCTTTTGTTCAGTGCAGTCATGATTGATAGCGGCATAAAGCTGAAGGCTTGACCCTCCAAATTTAGAGCCACTTTCTTTCGTTCTTCGCGGTCGACTCAGCCCACAAACACCTGGTAGGTCGGGTCCTTCAAAGGACACAGCCCCTGAATTTGGACACAACCTAGGCAACAAAGAAGTGTGGACAGTGATGCAACATCATGTTCAATAAAACCACATTTTTCTCCCTCCCCACTTTCTCTCCTCTCAGTCATCTCAACTAGTTTATATTATTACACATTGTAGCGTTTTGCTAACTGTTTCATGGAAACTTAAAAACATAAAGGTCCACTCCTTTTTGTTTGTCGTCTGTGTTACATTYGTCAGGTTTCCAGGCAGGTTTAAACAGAAAAGCCTCGTGCTGTCAGAGACAGGTGTCCACTTTAGTTCACTGCTCGCTGTAGACTAAACATTAGTGTTTCACAGCTGAGCTCTTGGCTTTTTGCGTCATAAGAAAACACATTAGATGTTGGTGTGTAGGATGACTCATTGGCTGCTTCAGTCTTTCTGTTTTTCTTTTGATGTTACCCTCTAATATTGTATAATAAAACTAGGTTGCTGTAAATAAGTTTAGGTTATTTATTTGTGCAGGTCACATTGTGTACCAGATCTGAACAAAACAAAACCTCCCAACAGAAAATCTTCAGTTTTTATCTCCAGCTTAATTTCCTGGCTTTTCTCTGCAGGACACAGACATGACCCACCGACAGAGTCCCTGTGGGGACAGCCTTGTGGGGATTGGGGATGGAGGAAAGGAGATAGAGGGCAGTGTGGATCAGCTCATGAGCCTTGGCGAGTGTGAGACCGTCTATGGAGGCTCAGCGTTTGAACAGTGGGACTCCTACTGGGAGGACCTCACCAGGTAAGAGATGACCTCAATCTGTACAGGAAATGGGTTTTTGTAGCCTTTGAAAACCACGATGAGACGTTTTCTGTTGTTGACAGATACACGCGACTGGCCAGCTGTGACATCTGGGGAACCAAAGAGGTGGACTTCCTTGGTCTGGATGACTTCTCCAGTCCTTACCAGGATGAGGAAGTCATCGGCCAAACACCGACTCTGGCTCAGCTCAACAGCGAGGATTCCCAGCCTGTATGCGAGGCGCTCTATCCTCCTTTAGACCTGAACCTTCCTGCCCCACAGCCACAGCTCCAACCTCCCCAGCTTTCCTCTCACAATAAGAGACACCCGGTCCCTGGCCAAGGACCGGGCCCCAGCTCAATCCGGCCGTCTCCAGGCTCCACATCCGCCTCCCAGTCTCGCTCTTCCCGCAGCCTCCTCCCAGACTTTCCCGAAAGCTCCCAAAGAGCCACTAGACCTGTTCCTTCCAGCACCGAAACTATGTCCAAGACCCAGAACCAGCTCAGTGTCACCCAGGACCATGGCCAGGCTCACATCAAGCTCGTGGGACGAGGGACTAAGACTGCCACGCTGGCGTCTCACAACTCTGACTTTGTGCGGAAAGCTAAAGTCCGAGTCAGTTCTGTGCTCAGAGCTGAAGGCGACAGGCCCGCCCCCCCAGATTTTGAGAAGTCGGACCCACTGCTGCCCCTCTCCCAGCCTCCAGACGAGACGCCCTCCACTTCGGTCAGCGTCACCATGGTGGGCCTCCCTGCCCCCGCAGCCAGCAGCTCTGTCAGCCTGGCCAGCTTTGAGAAAAAAGCAGAGGGGACAACGAGAAGGGAGGTCCAAACCCRTGGAGCGGAGCCCAGCCAGACACTGGGCACCGTTGGTAACGTGGTGGGGGCTACCAGCGCCGCCGGCGGAGGCGGTGGAGGAGSAGGAGGTGGGAGCGTTCTGGTTGTGGAAGACTCTGAGCAGGGCAAAGAGGAAGAGCACAACTACTCTCTGTTCCTGGCCCACAGCAGAGCTCATTCACAGCTAGAGGAAGATGACGACGACGACGACGAGGAGGCAGAGGAGGACGAAGGTGACGGGCTGGAGTTGGACGATGAAGACCATGACGAGGGTTTCGGCAGTGAGCATGAGCTGTCTGAGAACGAGGAGGAAGAGGAAGAAGAGGAGGATGAAGATTACGAGGCAGACAAGGACGATGACATGAGCGACGCCTTCTCTGAACCAGGTAGTTACACACACACCTACTTTATTCTAGATTTTAAATTAGTTTTTAGACAGTTTGTTTTTTATTCCTTGTCTTTACTTTGTTTTTATTACCTGCTTTTATTTTTCTGTGGTTTTTATTCCTATTTTAATTATGATTTAGTTTGTTTTTGTATGAGCTGTGTTGGAATGCTGGTTCTGTACAGCACTTTGGTCTACTGTGGTGCAAAAAGTGCTTTACAAATAAAGTTGGATTGGACTGGATAATATGTCTCTCTATCCTTGTGGGGACTTTCTCATTACCTGTTTTTATTTTTCTGTGGTTTTAATTCCTATTTTAATTGTGATTGAGTTTGTTTTCGTATGAGCAGTGTTGGAATGCTGGTTCTGT